TAATACAAGTCTATAATAATTAAAGTTTAAAATTTTGGTGCGCGGAAGTTCCAATAGTACACGTTGATTCCAAATGGGATTTTTATATGACAAAATTATGAAGTAAACAAGATCACACGATTAAACACAAGATTTTGTTTGTAAAAGAGGAACAAAAGATTAAGGGGAAAGAAACAATGTTTATTATTGAACAATATGAAAAATACAAATCAATTTAACAATTGACTTCTATGTGTTATATCTAATAAAATTGACAGATGAGCCTTGTATTTATAGGTCAATCCTAGAAGAGTCCAAAAATGCAAGAAAATATATTACAATTAAGAGATCCAATTTTAATAGGATTTTGTTTCCTTTTGTTGGATGCAATTAGAATCTCTTTCTAAGTAAAAATCTAACACGTATCTTCAAAAGACTCCTAATCAATTTTTAGGATTCCACTTGATCACATTCTAAATCAACAATAATCCTAAAACAGTTGAGTCACCAAACCTAACAATCTCCACATTGACTCAAAATTTGGTGCTACGAAACAAACTCCTAGATTTCAAATCCATTTGCATTGAAATTGACTCGCCAAATCTCCTCAACACAATAACCACTCCATATAAATCAAATACTCGTCTTTTGCCCGACGTCCACAACTAATACCCGAACCCAATCCCCAGGGTTCCCAATTCCATCAATGAATTAATGTTGATTACACTGACACATGGCTGAAGCACACCCTGTAGCAAGAACCAAACCATATGCATGATCAGAAGGCCCCTTGTTGGAACTGTCGCCTTCAACATACTCAAAAGCATCCCTGACATTATTGACACCGTTGTACCTATGCTCAATGAGTCCTACCCCAGAACTGAACATAGTGTACCCATTGAAATTGGTGGCAAAGCGAAATCACCAATGCTCTACCTAGTAGTATTCTGAACGAACTCAGAGCTAACACAAGAGGTACTGTACCAAACTAAACTTTCACCATTGTACTAAGCTTGTCCAAATGTCTCTTCTTAACTAGTTCTGCACTCCCCTACAAAATGTACAATTGGGATTTTCTCCGTCCCTCTAGTACAATCTAGACTCCCTTTCGGACTTTCAAAACTCCATCTCCTCCAGAGAATTTATACCCTTTTGCATCCATGACACTCAACGAGATGAAGTTCCTCTTCAATTTTGGAACATATCAAACCTAGCCAAGTGTTTTGATCGTCCTATCCTACAACCGCAATCTGACTCGACCGATTCCAGCAATATGATAAGACTAGTTGTTTCCATTACAACTCCACCTTGCTGAACAGCCTTATATGTCTGAAATAAATTTCAATCGAAACACATATGGTGCGAACATGCCGAATTAAGAATTCACTCATTGTTAAGCCTAGATTCTACATCAGATACCACGATCAACATCACATCTTTGCCATTTGAAAAATATTCAACTACATTGGTTTCATCTAAAGTCAAAGGTTGCGCTCCACGATTTGCAACTAAATCACCTCTAGCCTGCAATATATCGTAATCCTTTCGAATATGTCCCTTCCGTAACAATACACATTGCTAAAGTTGACTTTTGATCTGCCTCTTCATCAACACCTTGAGATACAAGAGCTTCCCCATTCCTTGATATAACCCCAATCAAATGCTTCATTTTCTTCTTTGAGTGCAAAGCACTATACACATCGTTTAGGTGATTTCTAGTGGAAGTGGAGATTTTTTGTGCATTCAAATTTCTTGATTCTTTAGAAAAAAATTAAGATAGATTTATGCTGAACATTCAATAAGTGGGAATCGTTTGGCAATGACAAGAATGGATAGTGGTGGATTTTCGATAGTGGAGAGGGTTTATGTGGTTTTAGATAGAGGTGGAGCTTTGGGGTTAAACAAAAATTAAGTTAGTTGTACACCCATTGTGTACATTTTGTTTGATATCTTCCTCTATGTCAAAAATTTGACCATTGATTGGAAAAAATGTTGTTAAAATCAATGTATAAAAATCTAGCAATTCATATATGTGTCAAATTAGGTGTCAACCTTGATGTACATATAAGCCTTGTTTGTTATCAAATTTTTACCTCAAAAAATCATTTTTTTGATCATTATTTCATTATATCAACCATTATTTTTGTCTTTTTCACTCACAGTTAGGATTCACTTTTCTCTCTAGCAGTCAAAAAATCAATTTTCAAAATCACTAAAGAACATGCCCATAGTATAGTTGTTTAAGCAATATTTAGAGAAATAAAAAAAAAAGATAATATTATTTAACACTATTGGTAATGCTAAGCACGGGTGGAGTCAAATATTTTGTCCAGTGCGAACACAATTATAAGTATTGGCTACGATGATTTTTTTTTTGTCGAAATTAGTCTTTGAACAAAAAGATCTTCATATGATCAATGTAGAGTACATTTTTTAACAATAGAAGATAAGATGATGGGGTCAATTGTATAAATAATAAATTGATGGGCCAATAAATTCATAACGGGGCCTATAGTTGTTCCCCCCCGCCTAAAAGCGTAACTAAAGAGTACGCCCAAAATCTAAAAATTAAAAAATTGGCCCAACTCCTACCCTTCTTCTTCCCCCTATGCTTCTTCTACCCTGTTGTCAGCAAATGTTATTTTCTTTCTCCGGCTATAACTTTCTTCCTCCTCCCATTCTTCTGCCTGCAGACAACACACACTTTCTTCTTCTTTCTCCCCTTATCTTCTTCTTCCTTCCCTCTTCTTCTTCTTCTCTTCTTCTTGGTCCAGACGTTTAGTGCAACTGAGGCACACTGGAGTTTCTGTGTCAAGTCCAGTGCGGGCATTGGCCTGCATTGGACTCCATGTAACTCCGTCCCTGATGCTAAGCGATATATTTAATGAAAAATTTATTTAATCATACATATCATTTAATGTCATATTAGTACTACCTATAATGATGTTTTATATTTTTAACATCATTGATATTAAATAGTATTTGCGCACACAGAAGGGAGTAAATTTGGAATCGTGAAAGATAAGGAGGTGTTGGCGGAACTCCTCAATTCTGAATCAGCCAAGTGGACTTTTCTTCTCCCTTACGCAATACGAAAAGGCCCATTGGGCCAATAATTTAGCACTATAACGTTAATTAAAAGTAATTGGCCTGGTCGGCCTTCGCTGTAGTCTTCAACTCGCCTCCGCTTTCGATCTCCGTCCGATTCAATTTTCCATTTCTGTTCTTGGTTGAAAACATCGTTTTTCATTAATAATCCATCTAAATTAATAATTCAAATCGGTGCTGTTTTTCCGATCTTTTAAGGTAAGAGTCACTAAATATCATTTTTTCTCCATGTTAATATTTGGTTTTAATTGATTTCCTTATAGATTGGTTTTTATAAATTTGGAATCTTTTGAACTAGTACGGGGCAATATATGATCAACATTAGCGTTTAAGTCTGAAAATTAGCAATGCATTATTTAAGTAAAGCTAGATCTGTTGCTAAGTATGTGTAACATTCACTCTTGACTTTTATTGGTTGTACAATTTTTGTTAATTTGTGATTATGCTGTAGCAAGTTTTATCTCTTTTTTGTTTTTTTTTTTGTTTTTTTTGTTTCTTACGTTAACTTTGCGAAATGGGTATTTCTTATTTATTCGGTCAGTCAATTTTGGCTTGTTTTGGTTTCAATTTTTGAATTGTTTCGATTCCGGGCTTGCATTGACTACCATAGCTATGAAAATCCCAATTTATGAAATTTCTTGATATTATGCTGAGCTAGAAAAAAGAGGGGAAGGTTTATTTGAGTGGGAAAATGAATTAAGTGTTTTTTTTTTTTTATGGGTTTTAACAATATGTTTTAACTTTGTAAATGTTTGATTTCACTTCACTGCAGGATCTTTGTAAATGTTTGATTTCACTACACAGCAGGATCTAATTGATGTTGCTTGTCAGAGGTTTGATTTACCTCCTCTTTTGTGTAAAGTTTCAACATTTATTTGCGAATTTGGCATCTTTTTTTTTCTCTTTTTAGTATTAGCTGTGTTGCTTTCCTTCTTGTCTTCTTCTTTATTTTGTGATGGTGTACTTTTATTGTCCTTCAGGTAAACCTATAAGTAAATCAGATGAAGTCTCTATAAGTTCGAGAAAGTAGTTTCAGAAAATGGAAGAAGAAGAAGAAACAAGGGACCATAGAGGATTTTCTGGTAGTAATCCTAAAACCTGCGGAGTAGGAACTGGTGTAGACCATACTGTAGGAACATCTATTACAGAAAAAGTTGAGATACATAGTAATATTGCAGATAATGAAGGTACCAATGTAGTTTTGCGAGGAGTTGATTCATCTTCTCCTGTCGTAGATGATGATCTTTTTGAGCATGTATCACTGAAAGAACATAATAAAAATGCTGAGGCTGTGAATGAGTCTTTCAATTCAGATAATTTGAGATATTCGTCCGGTGGAAGTGAAGAAACATTTGAGTTTTCCTTTGGAAATGTTCCAACTTCTATCTCTACCCCAGATGCAGAGGTGCATCATGATCACCATTTTTCAAGCCCAGGACCCGAGAGATATTTGACTAATAACGTTACAGTATCATCGTCCTCAGTTAGTCTTGATTCTGCTCTGCATTTCTATGGAGATAGTGGATACTCTCCTTTTGAGTCCCCTCAAAAGCCCAAGCCTAAACAGGTTATGCTTAATGTGTCTCCGGAGCTACCCCCAGATGCAGAGGTGCATCATGATCACCATTTTTCAAGCCCAGGACCCGAGAGATATTTGACTAATAACGTTACAGTATCATCGTCCTCAGTTAGTCTTGATTCTGCTCTGCATTTATATGGAGATAGTGGATACTCTCCTTTTGAGTCCCCTCAAAAGCCCAAGCCTAAACAGGTTATGCTTAATGTGTCTCCGGAGCTATTGCATTTAGTAGATTCTGCTATAATGGGCAAAACGGAAAGCTTGGAAAAGCTGAAGAATATTGTGAGTGGTGTTGAAAGTTTTGGGAATGGTGAGGAGGCTGTTACCATTGCTTACTTGGTAGTTGATTCACTTCTTGCCACGATGGGAGGTGTTGAGTCTTTTGAAGAGGACGAAGACGACAATCCTCCTAGTGTTATGCTGAACTCTAGGGCTGCCATTGTGTCAGGTGAGCTTCTTCCTTGGCTTCCTGCTGTTGGCGATTTTGAAGGTTTCATGTCTCCTAGGACTCGGATGGTAAGAGGTTTACTTGCTATATTGCGTGCTTGCACTAGGAACAGACATATGTGCTGTGTGGCTGGTTTATTGGGGGTGCTGCTATACTCAGCTGAGAGAATTTTTGTTCATGATGTTAGTGCACCTGAGAAATCGAAATGGGATGGAACTCCTCTTTGCTCCTGCATTCAATACTTAGTTGGTCATTCTCTTAGTCCAAGTGATCTGCATCAGTTGCTTCATGTCATTACAAAACTACTTGCCACCCCATGGGCAGCTCGTTTAGTTCTTTCTCTGGAGAAAGCTATGGGTGGAAAAGAGGTCAGGGGTCCAGCATGTACTTTTGAGTTCGATGGTGAAAGCTCTGGTCTGCTTGGTCCGGGAGAGAGCCGATGGCCTTTTACTAATGGATTTGCATTTGCAACCTGGATCTACATTGAGTCATTTGCAGATAATTTAAGCACAGCAACTACAGCTGCTGCAATTGCAGCTGCAGCTGCTGCCACATCAGGGAAATCATCTCATATGTCGGCAGCAGCTGCTGCTAGTGCTCTAGCTGGTGAAGGCACAGCACACATGCCTCGGCTGTTCAGTTTCTTAACTGCTGATAATCAGGGGATGGAGGCTTATTTCCATGCACAGTTTTTGGTTGTTGAATGTGGAAGTGGGAAGGGGAGGAAATCTTCTTTGCATTTTACTCATGCGTTCAAACCGCAGTGTTGGTACTTTATTGGCCTTGAACATACTTGCAAGCAGGCGCTCCTTGGAAAGTCAGAGAGTGAGCTAAGGTTGTACGTAGATGGTTCGCTGTATGAAAGTCGTCCTTTCGATTTCCCACGAATTTCCAAGCCACTGGCATTTTGCTGCATTGGGACTAATCCTCCGCCAACTATAGCTGGTTTACAACGACGTCGTCGTCAATGCCCTTTGTTTGCTGAGATGGGGCCTGTATATATTTTTAAGGAACCTATTGGGCCAGAGAGAGTGGCACGGTTGGCTTCTAGGGGAGGTGATGTGCTGCCTTCTTTTGGTAGCGGGGCTGGGTCCCCATGGCTAGCCACAAATGACCATGTCCAAAGAATGGCACAAGATAGTGCATTTCTGGATGCAGAAATTGCTGGATGTCTTCATCTACTTTATCATCCCACCTTACTCAGTGGGCGGTACTGTCCAGATGCTTCTCCTTCTGGTGCTGCAGGTATCAGAAGTTCTACATTTTGGTAAAGTTAAATCAAAATTAACAGTCTGATATCCAGTTATTATTGTTTTCGGTTTTATTTCATGCAAGATTCTACCACATAATGGGTCCTCTTGGTCTATAATCATATCGGGAGGTTGTTTCTTAACTCTAGAGTAATTGGATTTCCTTTGAACTGCCGGAGTCTAGAGACCATTTGTAGTAGGATAATGTTTTCTGAGAAGACAGATTACCCTCTCTTTCGGGGGATTGGTATAATTTCCAAAATGTTTCTTTCTTTTTACATTTTCCTCGTCTTGCTTTTTGGCAGGTAGTCTTTAAGTAATTTGATTTTGTTATTGTTCTCTATAATTAAATAGGAATAGAGACTATGCTGAGATAAGGTGTGTTTGGGTTGAGTTGCTATTTTTGTGCTCAAGCTGATTGCTTCTGGAATTTTAAATTATACATTTGGGCTTGACTTGATTTATTAGCCCCCGTTTGGCCCCCATTTTGTGGAAATGAAAATAGGAGGAATAGTGTTTATTTGAAAAATGAGTGGTTGAAAAATAAGGAAATTTTTTTAGTTTACGTGTAATATTATTTTATGAAAAATTGTATGGTTGAAAATGGGAGAGATAAAAATGAAATGTAATGGAATGAAAATTAATGGGGGTCAAACGGGGGCTTAATTTGTGGTAACATAATAAACTGGACCTTCTCCCAAAATCTATGGTACAGTCTCTCTAGAATAGAGTTCTTGCTTCTCTTCTCTGCATGCCTACAGCTCAAAACACTTATTCTCTATAATCAACAGTGTTCCTTGGTGTTCAGGCATGCTTCGAAGACCTGCGGAGGTTCTTGGTCAAGTGTATGTCGCTACAAGAGTGCGGCCAACAGAAGCTCTGTGGGCCCTGGCTCATGGAGGTCCAATGTCCTTACTTCCACTAGTGGTGAGCAATGTGCAAGAGAATAGCCTGGAACCACTCCAAAATGACCTCTCTTTGTCTTCGGTCACTACTTCTCTTGCTGCTCCCATATTCAGAATTATCTCTTTGGCCATTCAGCACCCTGCGAACAATGAAGAGTTGTGTCGCAGAAGTGGCCCTGAAGTTTTATCGAGAATCTTAAACTATCTCCTGCAAACGTTGTCGTCGCTTAATGTTTCAAATGACCATGGAGTTGGAGATGAAGAACTTGTTTCTTCAATTGTCTCTTTATGCCAGTCTCAGAAGTTTAACCATTCACTCAAAGTGCAGCTTTTTAGTACACTGTTACTTGACCTTAAGATTTGGAGTTTATGCAGCTATGGACTACAAAAAAAGCTTCTGTCTTCACTTGCAGATATGGTTTTCACCGAGTCATCTGTCATGCGAGATGCTAATGCTATTCAGATGCTTTTAGATGGTTGCAGGCGATGCTATTGGACCATTCACGAAAGTGACTCTGTCAATGCCTTTTCTATAAATGAGGATGCTCGCCTTGTTGGTGAGGTGAATGCTTTGGTTGATGAACTATTAGTGGTTATTGAACTTTTAGTTGTGGCAGCTCCTCCTTCCTTGGCTGTGGAGGATGTTCGGTGTTTACTTGGGTTCATGGTTGATTGCCCTCAACCAAATCAGGTAAAATAGCCATTTTTGACTAAAACTTGTTTTGTTCTTGTAAAAAAATCAATCGGATGTTGTTCCTTACAGTTACCTTCTCAGTTCTTGTATCAAATTCTTGGTTTCAACTATCAAGAGAATTTTTATTTGTCCATGTTTGACAACTTAAGAATTTGTTATTGATGAAGAGTTGCTTACTGGAATATGTTGGCGATTGGTTGAAAATAACTTAATCTATAGAGTATGTATGCTGAATTGTATAATCACAGCTGAACAGTTTTTGAGTTGTTTTCCTTAAATGGCATAAACCTTCTGGCTTAAGATGCTTCTTAAAGTGAACATGTCAAGTTTAGTTGTCTGGTGAAGCATGTTACTTTTTACATTTTTCATAACATTCTACCTATGTTCATGCTTTATAACTTAATTATTGAATATGTCTTGCTTTTTGTGATATTATGTTAATAGGAATGTAAGAGTTTTTAAAACTGCTTGACTTCTTGCTTTAGAAAAACATGTCATGTTCCTGTCTATATTTGGGGTGCTTAGTAGCACGGACACTCTACTCTAACTAGGGTAGCGTGTCCGTGTTAGACACGTGTCGATATCGACGCTCTTCGAATACTTTACAATAATCTTTTTTCTTTATTACTATAACTATTATATATTTTTAACTCAAAATTATTAATAAATAACAAATAAGTATTCATATTTAAAAGATTTCAATAAGAATAATCAATAATAAGTGTAAAACTAAATTTTAACTATATAAATGAAGAATTTTAAAGAATTTAATGAACGAGTCGGAAACGTGTCGTGTCAGTACTTTTTTGAAAAATCATGAGTTGACGTATTTGACACGTATCGTGTTGGACACACGTGTCCGGGTCGGTGCATCATAGTTGTGTATATAAAATGATATTACTCAAATTGATGGGCTTTTGGTTTGTGGTACTAGAATTTTTCTGTACTGGTGACCCGTTATGAAACTGATTTTTTCATCTTTCTCTACTTCGGAAGGGCAGTTTTAAGTAACTTGATTGAGCCAGTTGCTCAAAATGTGAACAAGGGCAGAGTGTTCTGGTGTCCAGTTACTGGAGAAAATCTGGCTAGAAGTTTTTACGAGAACAACTTCAACAAGAAGTAATAACTAAGTCTTATTATCAATTAACTTGGTGTCAACAAAAAGAATCATTGGATCTAGCACAACTTCTATTAAAAGGTTCAATGAAATCAAAACTTTTACAACCACATATTATGGCCATGATAATGTTGGTATACTTCTACCTATTCTAATGTGTTCTGCTAGAATCATATTGCTATGGTGAAAGAGTTTCTTTAGGTTATTTCATTGGAAATTGTTGTTAATGATCAATATCCATTTGCTTCTGCCATGAATATTCATTTGAATATGGTTAACCCCATGAGAGATGCAATTACTTAAAGATTTTGTGAAATAAAGGGGAAGACTGACAAAATTTGTGAGTTGAGGTAATATATATAGTGAAGTATATTTCTGAAATTTATATAGCTGTCTTGTTTGCATATAACATTAATGGACAGGTTAGTATCATGCTCAGTCCATTTGTTTAATGAGCAAAGATTTGGTATTCGTGCTTGGTACACATTCAATTGTGGAATGAATCTGAACAGAAGCCAATTGACATTATGTTCATTCGGCTACTTCCATTTGTTATGGCATGACCATAGTTGTCGAAAGGAAATGCAACACCTATTTAAATCTCTTCAGTTACAATGGTTCTTCAGTTTAAGTTTATTTTTATCCTCGCTTATAATAACAAGTTTAACTGGAGTCAATGATCTCTGTTCACACTAAAAGACCATGTTTATTGAGGCGAATGCAACTGATTCTGTATAGCTTTTTCTCCAAAAAGTTTCTCTGGCTTTTTGTTTCTGAAAAATAGAAAACTTGTCAATACTTAGCAATAAGCATCTTGTAGAAATTCAAGACTGCAGATTGATTGCTCATTGTGATTTGTTTTTGTTGTCGTTCCGTTTGCAAGTTCCTGTGGTTCAAATTTCTTATCAGTTTGTAACTTGCCACCATATCTAGATATGGGGTACATCCAACTTGACAAACTACTGCTAGAGAATTTGTTTTTCCCTGGGTCACAATGTTATATGACATGCTTCTTGTTTAATTGTTTGGCACCTTTGAAAGTAACATGTTTGAGTGGAGCAACTGAGAGATCTTGCTTAAACCATATGATATAAGACTAGGTTATATGCGTTTGCAGTCCTAATTTATATTTTCAGAAAGTACGTGATTGATACTCAAAAGACAATGCAATGATCTAACTCATTGATTGCTGGTACATTATTTAACTTTACATCCTTCAATTTTGACTGCCTTTATGCAAACAATAATGTGGTCTCACTGTCCACAAGTACTTGATCTGAACTCAAATGTTTTGATTTTTGTCATCCAAAACTTCTAAAAGTATGTCTGACCTGTCTCTTTGAACTTATTCTACAACTTCTCCTTCCAGGTTGTCAGGGTGCTACACCTGATATATAGGTTGGTTGTTCAACCAAATACATCCAGGGCTAAAACCTTTGCCGATGCATTTAAATCATCAGGTGGTGTAGAAACACTTCTTGTTCTTTTGCAGCGTGAAGCGAAAGCTGGAGATATTGATGCTTCAGACTTTTCATCGAAGAGTGATGACGCTTTATCATCCCAGAAAACTGAATTAGATATTGGAAACGGGGCTTCAGAGGATATTGATTACGATGATACAGGACGTATGGATAAAGATGTTTCAACTTCACAGGCAAAGGCTTATCAACCCAAGTCTTTTGATGGGTCAAAGATATCTACTATTGGAAGGATGTCTTCTATCCCTGAAAATCCATTTATTAAAAATTTGGGCGGCATAAGTTTTTCAATAAGTGCTGAAAATGCACGGAATAATGTGTATAACATTGACAAAAGTGATGGTATCATAGTTGGCATTATTAACCTCTTGAGTGCTTTGGTAATATCAGGATATCTAAAATTTGATAAGCCTGTTCCCCCGGATGTGATGAACAACATTCTCAGTTTGCTTGAGGGAGGAGGTTCCATGTTTGATGATAAGGTCTCCCTTCTTCTTTTTGGATTACAAAAGGCTTTCGAAGCAGCACCAAACAGGCTTATGACAAGCAGTGTATACACAGCTTTACTGGCTGCCTCGGTATGTCACATGTCTTTTCTCATGCCTAGTGCTCCAATGTTGCAGTTTGTGTGCAATATTCTATGCATATATATTGCGAGTCTTCTACTCCTGACTAATTTCTATTTAGATTTCCTGTTTGGTGAGGAACTCGTGGAAGGTGTGTGGGGAGGGGGGGGTGTCAATTTTCGATGCTACTTTTCTTTTGTTTCTGTTCTAAAACACACCACTAATGGAACATAATTTGATTTTTTCTGAATCATTATTAATGTTCTCACGTTGTACGTGATCTAATTATTATGTTCTGGCCGACTTTCAACCTTGAGGGCAATGAGGATAGGGTACTGATGGTGGGCATTGTTGCTGTAATGGAAATCTGCTATTGTGTTTATGACTGTGGTGCATGATTATATTAGTGTAATCCTGCTCTATTAGTTGGTGGGTGAAGTATCTCTATATTGTGTTACAAATAATTACTTCAGATGTGACAATGCTTTAGGTCATTGCTACAGTTTTGCACCATTGATTTTTTTCTTTTCTAAATATCAGTATCATGATGCTGAGGTCCAAGTGGGTCTGTCTGAATTTTTCTGCCTGCTCTAGGTCTCATGTGAACAGTAGGTTTAATACCTATTATCCATACATTTGTTAGTTGTTTGATAGCAAAATCGATTATGAAAGAATTATTCTCTCTCCTGAATAGTCGATGCTATTTCTAGGTGACCAGGAGCATTTTAAGTTGTTATCTTGAAATCAAATACGGACTGAAGATAATTTGCTTGGAAGTAAGATTTTGATCTGTTTGTTCAATTGAAGGTTCTAGTTGTCTGTGTAAACTATCTTACTTGTAATGCTGTTAGGATGCACTGCCAAGAATCTCTATTGCCCTCAGTAATAAATGAGAAAACTGTCTACCTCTCCTTTTTCTCTAGAGTTTTTTTAATTATTTACGTGGAAATATTTTCTTTCCCTCCATGCCATGCTATATGACATATTTCTTGTTTGGGGTTGTGTTACAAAGCAGTCACTTCCTGAAATTGGAAGCGCACTCTCGTTAGAATTTTAAATTTCCATTTAATGTATAAATAAATATTGGGAGAAAGTAATGCTGACATATCTAATCATTTCAAAATGCAAGTTGGGGGGTTGCAGATTTGATGCTAAAACTATTTGTTGAATGTCCGCATCTGAAGTTTAAGCTGTTCAAGAGGGGACAAATTTATTTATATAAATATTATTTTCAACGTGTCCCCTCATGTGCATGTCGGATTCATTTTTTCATAAAAACCATAGCGTGTACAATTTTTATAAATGGATGGTTGTAAGGCTTGAAACCTGGTATTTTCCAAGCTCTAATATTATGTTGAACTACCTCATCTAAAAACCTAGTTGTTAGAGAGGGAGCAAATTTATTAGTTTCAATATTGTCTTCAACTTTATGGGTGAGTTGTAAAAAATAAGGCTCCTTTTTCTTGACCTTAGCGCCAAGAAGTTATTTGACAAGCCATGTGGATGGAGAGGATAAAAATACTCTTCAAAGCCCTTGTTTGAGCCCATTCTATTGAAATAATGCATTTTTCAACAGTATTTCAACATCATTTCAACCACACATTTTTAATAAAATAATATTATACATAAATCCAAAACTTTTTCTTATTTTTTAACCACACATTTGTTATCAATACACTATTCAAAAATTCATTCTCTCCACCAAAATGGGGCTCAAACAAGGGGAAAGTAAAGTTTGAGGTAAAATTCTTGTATATTTTACATTATATGCAACATTGCCGAGTTGTAATGATTGTTTTTGTGAACTTTGAGCTGTTGTTCGCTCAGAAGTGGGCACGGCCTGATCATTGATTAAATTGAGACTTTATAGAGAATGAGAGATTTTCCCTCTTTGCTACAATAGTCTTCTGTGATGAATGCAATTACCTATTAGTTGGTGCAGTTACCAAAGGCATGTATCTCTAAGATGCAATTAATGGGACGATCACTAGAAATAATGGTGAGACCATAGGTCTTTGGTGCTGTTGAGTCCCCTTTTTGATGTCTACCTGAGGACCTCTGTGAATGTTATGCAATGGAGGGGGTGAGTAGCACCAAGCTGAAAAGCAATATCTGAGCATTCCCAGTCACTCAGGAAGAAAGCAGCTGAATTTCAATCGTACAATTAGGACCTTGGAAATCGGGTTTTCCGAATTTCTCTCTTCTGGCCTGGCATAAATTCCTACTACTGGTTATGCATGTAATATCACAATAATCAATTTAAAATATAGTTGTTCTGGAAGTGTCATAGAAACATTAAACAATGGAAGTCAAATGCCTGATTAAAAATGTTTGTTTGCATCATATTTACTTGTAGCAAGTTATTAAAATGACCTTCAATATGTAACTGATAGAATGGTAATGTATTCATGATCTAGTGAGTGGATGACATTCTACCTGATAAGAATAATGAGTCCGTCCAATGTTAAATGAGTTGCTGAATTTGAGCATCTAATAAAGCCTGCATATGAATGATAACCTACATTCAAATAATTTTCTGTTAATTCTACTTTTAAAGGGTTGCTTGATATCTGGGATGTTTACTTTTATTTTATTTTTCCCCAGATAAACATGTCTTCAACAGATGAAGGTCTATACTTGTATGATTCAGGCCATCGCTTTGAGCATCTGCAGCTATTGTTGGTTCTTCTTCGTTCTCTTCCATATGCATCGATGGCATTGCAAAGTCGAGCATTACAGGTACTTAGTTGTGGCATGCAAACTTAATTGTGAGCTGAATAGCTGATTGCGGAACTAAGCAGTCATATGCTGTTTCAGATTCTCTTCTCTATCTTTTATGGTAAAATCTTGATAGATATTTGTGGTTCACTAGGGGGCAGGACAAAGTTCATGCGAATTAATTTTTATGATAGAAGTGTACAGCTTGATAAACCTGCATACTAAGATTTGCTAGAAAAGGCTTACACAGTGCATCTTCTGGGGTTTCTCCTTTTTTGTGCATTAATGATCTTTGTGTCTACTTTTGACATTGAAGTCTGACTTGGCTATTAATAGGCTAATCATATTTGCCCGACTCCATTTAGCTGGCTTTTGGCTCATTAGTATTTAACAAAGCAGAGCAAAGAAAGACAGATCATGCTAAATGTTTTCTTATCCCAACATTTATTTATGGATTATGTGCATCATTTTGATTCGACAATGTCATTATTTGGAAAAAGTTTGCATTTCATGGTGAAATAATAATGTTAATTTATCACCACTTTGAATGATTATGTTATTCACCTGCTTAATCTTTCCTTACCACAGTCCTACTGTTTTTTTAGTTCTCATACTTACTTTTGGTTTCAGGATCTTCTGATTTTGGCATGCAGTCATCCAGAAAATAGAATCAGTCTTACGAAAATGGATGAATGGCCTGAGTGGATTTTGGAGATCCTCATATCTAATCATGAGGTACTTCTATCACCATTAATCTTCAAATATTGATCGATTTTATATTTGCTATTGCAATCCGAGTGTGAAATAAGATACATGCTTAGTAGGATGAAAGTTTCATTCTGTAATGGTTGGTATGGGTGTTTGTATGATGTCTCTTTTCGTTATATGTTCAATTTAACTTGCATATTTTCACTCTTATCATTCATTTGTGCAGAAAAGTGGAAGTGAAAATACAAATTCATCCGCCGCGAGAGATGTAGAAGACTTTATACACAATTTCTTGATTATTATGTTAGAGCATTCTATGCGCCAGAAGGATGGATGGAAGGTTCGAGTTTTTTGACTATTTGTTTTTGCATTATATAATAAGTTGGCCGCCAACATTTTTGGAAAAAAAATTATGAGATTGAAATAGCACTACTAGGACATTAACCATGAGAAACAACAGAGATGTTATTGATGTTTGCTGTGGAAGCGAATAACTAAATTTAAAAATGAAAATGACAACTTTTTTGTGGTAAATTTGGTAATGCAATGGACAATCAGAATGATTTTGAAAAAAAATTAAAAAATACTGCTTATGATTTGAACTGAAATTTGATCTAGTTAATACTGCTGCTGCTATTCTTTTTGATCTACAATTTCAACTCAAGTTTTATCTTCCTTTAATTTAAATGCGCTAATAAAATCTCTTTTGAGACAGTGTAGATAGTACTAAATGAAAAGTTTTTGATGAAAATTCTAATAATCATAGTAGCTAATCTTCAGGTTGAAAGTTGTGTCTGAGATTGAAATATTTGTTTGTTGACTAGTTATTGAGTTGCCTACCTAGCTTTTTCCAGTAGATCTTTCAGGCAAAGAATACACAAAAAGTGCTTTATTTTTCAATGTTGATGTACACAGTCTTTCTTTTTACTCCTTTCTAAACATCTTCTTCGCAGCCATGCATATGTTCAGAATCAAGTTAGGATGGTCATATACCTTCCTCTGCCAAACCTCTGTTGTGAGGCTTATCCTATAATGATTCAGTTTTGCTCTTGTTTGGCGTTGCATTGATTTCATGTTTGGATTTCAACTCAGCAGTTTCATTTATATATTTTGTCATTACTTTGACAGGATATCGAAGCTACAATTCATTGTGCAGAATGGCTTTCTATGGTTGGTGGTTCTAGCATTGGAGATCAAAGGATTAGGTATTGCCACAATATCTGGCATAAAATTTTTCTGTTGGATATAAATAGTTCATCATTGAATTCGATAGATATTGGTGATCCACAATAGCCGTCACTCTTTTTTATGATGCATGACAACTTGAAAAATTAAACCCTCGGTGGAATTTTTATTCTGTTTTATTGTCAATCTTTGTTGTACATGCAGACACAAGTTTATCTTATAGACCAAGATTCTAATGTCAATTACGTAACACAACTCCCCGAAGAAAGCACTTGATAATTCAAGGACTTACCCCATGTTACTCTGATTCCAAACTAAACCCAAATAAAACCAACTAACCTAATTTCAAGGGCTAATGACCAATTCTATAAAAACCTCCTGAGTTACTATAAACCTTCAAAAAATGGGTACACTAAACGTACTTTATCATTGTTAAATAAAGAGTAGTACCATTGCTTAATCAGTTAATAATAATTTTAAAGCTTGACAAAATTCACTAAGCTCCTTATCTTTTGAGAGACTTGAGTTGAATCTTGGTATATATGTGTGTGTGTGTGTAGTTCCTCAACTATTGACCGATATACAATTTGATCCTCTAACTTTCATCATCTTGCACCAAGGTCCTAATTTTCATAATTATCGACTATAAATGATTTTGGGGTATTATAAAATGGCTCATGCTGTGGTTTAATTTTTGTTATCATTTACCACTAGAGCCATATGCTTGTCCTTACCATCTTCATTTTGTTTCTAGACGTGAAGAATCATTGCCCATATTCAAAAGAAGGCTTTTGGGTGACTTGCTGGACTTCGCTGCAAGAGAACTACAGGCTCAGGTGATCTTTTTGGTTTTGTCTTCAAAATTTTAAGTTCAGTTTTTTCCCATGAACTTCATATTTTTTTCATCTTCACTTTCTAAGTTATTGATATAAAATAATTTTCTATTGATTATTGACTTCAAGAACGAGGTTCAGATTATGGAAATAATGTTCCTCCAGAGAGTTTCAATATTTCAAGAAGCTTATTGTCATTTGTCTTATCTTTTTAAACAAGAAAGTATCTCATATTAACTTAATAAGCTCATTTATGACTTATTCTCAGAACTGTTGTTTTGGTAATTTAGCAACACTTTTAGTTTTGGTTCACCTTTGACCAAATGCCTTCCCCTTTAAATGCTCATTATTGGTCCTTTTGCTTTATATTTCAGATTATTTAAGTTGCATTTGGATAATCTTGATTGTAATTTAAGATGCATGTTATATCTTCCTATATTATTTTAATGTCTCTACATGCTAACTGTTTTTTTTTACTGCAGACTCAAATTATTGCTGCAGCAGCAGCTGGTGTGGCAGCTGAGGGATTGTCACCTGAGGATGCGAAGGTGGAATCTGAGAATGCTGCTCAGCTTTCTGTAGCTCTGGTTGAGAATGCAATTGTGATTCTAATGCTTGTTGAAGATCATTTACGATTACGAAGCAAACTTTATAGTGCTTCACGTTTGCCAGCTATATCTCCTTCCCCTCTTTCAAATATTATGCCTGTTTGCAACCCCTCTTCAACTGCGGTGGGTGGAGAAACTCTTGAACCGGTGCCTGCTCGTAACTCAGCATCTAGTCACTCTAAAGGACTCTCTCTAGACGTATGTTTGCAACTAGATTGATTATTTTATACATAGCTGGCCTGCACACAGTTAATTGATGCACTTTCTTTCGACGTGTGGATGCAGCTATATTGATTATTTCACCCATAGATGGCTTGCACACAGTTAATCGATACACTTGCTTTTGTAGTTTTTCTATCAGTCCTTTTCGTGTCAGGTTTTATCTCCACGGTCATGCCTTTTTTCTATTCATATTATTTTTACTTACGTCATCTTTTGTTGACAATGCTCCTTCCATTGGTTTTCAGAGTATATTAAGCATACTTCCATCATTCAGACTGGGTGTATGGATAAGCTTAGTCTGTTTCTGTTTGCAAATATTATGTGTACCTGTCAGTTTGATGGCTCTGTTACCAATGCTCTGCGTTTGATGTGTTACACCATTGCTCATGGAAGAGCATGAATTAAAATTTGCCTCTTTTTATATTATTTCAAATCATCATGCTTCCTTGTAAAATCTAAATCTATCTCGTGTGAACTAGGTGCTTGCTTCAATGGCTGATGCCAATGGGCAAATTTCTGCAGCAGTAATGGAGCGGCTTACTGCCGCTGCTGCAGCAGAACCTTACGAATCAGTCAACTGTGCTTTTGTATCATATGGAAGCTGTGTTGTAGATTTAGCAGAAGGATGGAAATACAGAAGTCGATTGTGGTATGGTTTTGGCCTTCCTTCAAAGGCATCAGACTTCAGTGGTGGTGGCAGTGGCTGGGAATCTTGGAAATCTGCACTGGAGAAAGACTCTAATGGAAACTGGATTGAGCTTCCATTAATAAAAAAGTCAGTTGCAATGCTTCAAGCTTTGTTATTAGATGAGTCAGAACTTGGTGGTGGTCTTGGTATTGGAGGAGGATCTGGTACTGGAATGGGAGGCATGTCAGGACTTCACCAATTATTAGACAGTGACCAACCTTTCCTATGTATGCTCCGAATGGTGCTTGTTTCATTGAGGGAAGATGATGAAGGTGATGATCGCATGCTCATGTTTAATATGGAAGATAGATCGCTGGAAAATTTAGGTCGACAAGGCAGCAATATTTCATCTTTTGATACAAATACCAGAATGACAATGAGAAAACCGCGAGCGTCATTGCTTTGGAGGTATTACGCACACTGATCATTCTGGTCAACTCGAAGACATTATCCCACAGTTTATATGACTTCATTTACATTATTTTGCTACTGAAAACTGCTGCGTGTATATCTTGACTAAAATGATCATTTTTATTAGATCTATAACTTGACTCAAAATCTCTTATGTTCTACTCACCCAGGAAATGCCTGCACGAGCGTCATTGCTTTGGAGGTATTACGCACACTGATCATTCTGGTCAACTCGAAGACATTATCCCACAGTTTATATGACTTCATTTACATTATTTTGCTACTGAAAACTGCTGCGTGTTTATCTTGACTAAAATGATCATTTTTATTAGATCTATAACTTGACTCAAAATCTCTTATGTTCTACTCACCCAGGAAATGCCTGCCCATGCTTTTCACTATATATTTTGAATGAAACTGATTCATAGTTAATGATGTTGTACAGTGTATTATCTCCTATCCTGAAAATGGCAATTACTGAGTCAAAAAGGCAGCGAGTTTTGGTTGCTTCATGCATTTTATATTCTGAGGTCAGTTTTTTTACAATTTTTGGCTTTTGTTGGTCTTAACATCTGTTTTTGGCAATTCTTGGACATCTATTTCCTGATTTTATTCCTATTTCCCCTAAAACATAATGTTTTACATATTTTTCTTGCATCAATGGCAGCTGCTATTTTCCCTCATGTTGTTATCTTAGTGCTTCATTATTCCTGCAGGTATGGCATGCTATCGGCATGGACCGGACCCCTCTGCGCAAACGGTATCTGGAGGTCATTCTACCTCCATTTGTTGCCATTTTAAGAAAGTGGCGACCCCTTTTGGCAGGAATTCATGAGCTTGCTACTGCAGATGGTATAAATCCTCTTGTTGCCGATGACCGTGCCTTGGCTGCAGATGCTTTGCCTATCGAGGTTTTTGTGCTAAAAGTCTTACTTGAATTACAATCCTGTTATCCATTTTGTTTCACAGCAGTTTGTCTCAAGTTATAGAATCCCATCAAGAAGGGGGCAGTTTAGATGGTAGCATGTTCAGTATATACCACCATCTAATCGTACACATTAGTCATGTTCTCACCTAGATATTTGGCCCACCTCACCTTATATATCCAGATATATGCATTAGTAATATGTCTGATAACATTTAGGATCATTATTAAATTGAATCTTGCTACTTATTCTGTCATAATAGCTTTGCATCCACAAGCAAGTAATTTTACACAGAAAATTGTACGTATAAAGGACAATTAACGAGGCCCACTTACCTTGAATCCTTTGCAATTTACTTTCTGAAAAGCAAATGGAGATATCCCTAGCTGTCCACGAATTCAACATTCCAAGAGTCCTATGTCATTACCATTTATTAAGAAACTTCAACATACTCATTTTCTTTTTATCTTCTTTTTATTTTTTTAACCACCTAGACATAAGTTAAATTTTGAACTAAGCCATTATTTCATTGAACTGCACTTTTTTTAGACCTGTCAAGAAAAAAGTTACTAAAGACAAAAAAAAAAGTACACAGAAAACTTAGCACTGTTTACCTCAATATCCTCTAAAAAGTTGTGTTTTAGATTAGTTTATCATCAAGTTTGGCCAATAATCAAAACCCAAACCGTAAATGTTTCAAAATGGGGTTAGCTAAGCTAAATTTTATTGTTATTTTTTTTCACCATAAATATAAGAAGGTCAAAACATCTAAGATTGCGAAATAAAACAAATAGATCAAACACCTAGATAACTTAAGCTTAAGCTATTAGGCCATATATAAATAGAAATGATACAATGAACACCAAAGCCCATCTTATGCTAAGCGCTGGTGACACGACATATGAATTCATTAGTAGCTATGCCATGTCACTAATGCTTAGAACAAGATGAGCATCGGTGCTCATTAGTTCATTTCTCTGTCTATATATAAGTTAGTGTTGCCACAATGCGAAGACCACCTTTGAAAAGTTGTCGATGTTGCACCATAATGAAATCGTTTAGTTTCATTTAAGACTATTCCATAAGTTGTCTGTTTTATTTTTATCTGTAGTTGCAATTTTCTAGTTATATCTCTCTCTCATTTTGTATACCTGCAATAAAACAAATTAGCTTTTTCTTTGAACATGCTGAGCGAACATTTTTTTTTTTGGGAACCTTCTAGATTATTTACTGATTGTTATAGTTTCCCATTTGATCACAATGTCTGAACAATTAATCATCTCTCTTTAGGCTGCTCTTGCTATGACATCTCCTAGCTGGGCTGCTTCTTTTGCATCACCTCCTGCTGCTATGGCATTGGCAATGATCGCTGCTGGTGCTGCTGGAGCAGAAACCGCTGCTCCAACTTCTTCACATATGAGGCGAGACTCTTCATTGTTAGAGCGGAAAACAACTAAACTTCATACATTTTCTAGCTTTCAAAAACCTTTGGAGGTACCTAGCAAATCTCCAGCTGCTGCCAAGGACAAGGCTGCTGCAAAAGCAGCTGCCCTGGCTGCTGCAAGAGACCTTGAACGCAATGCAAAGATTGGTTCAGGACGAGGTCTCAGTGCTGTGGCAATGGCTACTTCAGCGCAGCGACGGCAAGAAAGTGATACAGAACGTGTAAAGAGATGGAATGTTTCTGAAGCCATGGGAACAGCTTGGATGGAATGCTTGCAGTCAGTTGATTCAAAATCCGTGTATGGGAAGGACTTCAACGCTCTATCCTATAAATATGTTGCTATCCTTGTTGGAAGTTTAGCTTTGGCTAGAAACATGCAACGATCTGAGGTATAATTTCTGTTAGTTTAATTATCATATATACTTATGCAGTGACAGATAACAATTGTCCTGAAATCTCTTTTCATGGGTTTAGGTTGACAGGAGGTCACAAGTTGATATAATAGCTAGGCACCGCCTATACACTGGAATTCGTGAGTGGCGCAGGCTGATTCACTCCTTGATAGAGATGAAATGTCTTTTTGGGCCTTTTAGTGATCGTTTATGCAATTCTCAACGCGTATGTTACTGCTTACCTTGGATTTATCAATTGTAAAGAATGACAGATCATATATATATATATATAACTTCAAAACCATGGATTTTCAGGTTTTCTGGAGGCTAGATTTAATGGAAAGTTCTTCAAGGATGAGGAGGATTTTGAGGAGGAACTACCATGGTTCAGATCACTTTGGTGCAGCTGCAGATTATGAAGATCATGCAGTGCAAAAGCATGAGAAAGATAATGTATGTACATAGATATGTATGTACATACATATATATATCTACATGTACATATATATAGATATGTATGTGTATATATATATATATATACACACATATATATGTACATATATATATATACATATATATGTACATAGATATATATATATACACATATATATGTACATATATATATATATATATAACTTCAAAACCATGGATTTTCAGGTTTTCTGGAGGCTAGATTTAATGGAAAGTTCTTCAAGGATGAGGAGGATTTTGAGGAGGAACTACCATGGTTCAGATCACTTTGGTGCAGCTGCAGATTATGAAGATCATGCAGTGCAAAAGCATGAGAAAGATAATGTCATAAGTCCATCCAAGGCTTCTATCTTAGCTGCAGAAGCTATCTCGATTGAGGTGGGAAATGAAGAGGATGAGCAAGAAGACGTTGCCTATTTGGACAGTAGTCCAAATGGCATGGAACAACACGATGAATTTCATAAAAGATCATCTGGAACCGCTGAACAACCACTTCAAACGACAACAGAGTCTAGAGATCCTCCAGTGACTAATGACCCAGTCTTGCCAATAGCATCTGCTGTTGCCCCGGGCTATGTTCCTAGCGAACATGACGAAAGAATAGTTCTTGAGCTTCCGTCTTCAATGGTCCGACCACTAAAGGTTCTGAGAGGAACTTTTCAAGTAAGTTCTGCATACCTAAATACTGAAACTGGTCTTGTTACGAATTATGCATGTGCACTAGCTACTAGTCATTTTCATAAATGATATTGTTTCTCATGGATTGATAACTGAATACTGAAACCGGTCTTGTTACAAATTGTTACGTATTATAGCACTACCTATTAGACATTTTCATTAATGATGTTCTCTTATGGACAAGAAATGAAATACTAAACTATGTTCGTCTGGATTTTTGCTGTTTCCTGTTTTGGCCACGGGCGGTCTGATCAGAAAACTTCTGTTTTTGTCGCACCCTGCTGAAACTCAACTTGTCCTCTTTACAAGGTCATAGCTTGTTACTGAACGTTTTATTGTCAGATAACAACAAGAAGAATCAATTTTATTGTTGATAACACGGAGAGCAATGACCTGGGTGATGGTTTGGAAAGTAAGACTGTGAAAAGGGTTCAAGAGAAGGATTACAGCTGGTTAATATCATCACTTCATCAAATATATAGCCGAAGGTGATAGTGGAACTCTTTTGCAGTTTTGCCACCTGAACTTTTCTCATTTCTATGAATTTTGGAGCAGATACTGATTATAGTATTTAATTTGTGCTTACTTTCCCTTTTTTTGTTTATTTATTTTTTCTGGGGTGGGGTAGCGATAGGTTAGTTAGCAGAAGCACATTTTTCAGAACTTGAAGAAGAAAATTGTCATTCTAAATATCAGGATTCTAATTTTCATCTCTATTCCTTTGCCTGGCTTTTGCTTTTACTCTAAAAAAGTTCACGTGTTTTCTCACACAATTGGTTTGTTTTGTTGTTCTTCTCAATGCTGTAGATACTTATTATAGTGTTTTTAAGAGTAAGAATATCTATTTACTGTCTCGGGGAAGGAAGTACCTTTGCTTTCCTCCTCACATATCCTGTTCATATAATTCACTTGTCCTATTTAGTTACTCATTGGCACGTCTATTTTTTTGAGTGCAATCATGGATTCATGGTGCATTATGCATAGTGCACTTATTTTACCTGGAAAATCTTACTTAGAAAAACTGTTCTTACAGATATCTTTTGAGAAGAAGTGCACTGGAATTGTTTATGGTTGACCGGTCAAACTACTTCTTTGATTTTGGGGTATGTCTTTTTAAAAAATTTACTAATTGCTGGGCTTGGGCCTTTTGACTGACTACATATTTTTCAATATGTTGGTTATGTTCTCTGTAGGTCACTGAGGGACGAAGAAATGCATATCGAGCTATTGTTCAAGCTCGTCCTCCTCATTTGAACAATATATACCTTGCAACTCAGGTTTTTTACCATCTGATCCCTTGCCACCTTTCATGCAAACATCATAAGACATTCTGCACTCCATAGTCCTCCTCATTTGAACAATAATCAACTGTGATGCTCGGACTCTCCATTCATGTAGGAGTACTCGTGTCGACACGACACGGGTACTGGTACGGAATGTGGGTCAGATTCTTCAAGTTTGAATTGGACCCGACAAGAAAATCTTTAGAAAAATTGAAGATTTACCTTAGCTGTAGTTTGGTTGGAGATGGAAGATGTGTGTAAAGAAATAGTAGGTTGGCGCCAGCGATCTTTGGTCCAAAATGAATCTGCTGGCTATCTTCACTTGGAACCTTAAAATCGTGGAGGAGGAAGACGGCGACGACAGGAATGAAAGAAGAGATTTAGGTTTAACTTGAGTCTAGGCCATTTTTATTGGGCTAATAATATGGATGTGGGTTGGCTCAATAATTTGGATATGGATGGATTTAATTGAAGTTTGGGCCATTTTTAATATGGATATGAGTGAGCTAATAATGTAATTGTTTTTAGACCACATATATATATATAACTTCAAAACCATGGATTTTCAGGTTTTCTGGAGGCTAGATTTAATGGAAAGTTCTTCAAGGATGAGGAGGATTTTGAGGAGGAACTACCATGGTTCAGATCACTTTGGTGCAGCTGCAGATTATGAAGATCATGCAGTGCAAAAGCATGAGAAAGATAATGTCATAAGTCCATCCAAGGCTTCTATCTTAGCTGCAGAAGCTATCTCGATTGAGGTGGGAAATGAAGAGGATGAGCAAGAAGACGTTGCCTATTTGGACAGTAGTCCAAATGGCATGGAACAACACGATGAATTTCATAAAAGATCATCTGGAACCGCTGAACAACCACTTCAAATGACAACAGAGTCTAGAGATCCTCCAGTGACTAATGACCCAGTCTTGCCAATAGCATCTGCTGTTGCCCCGGGCTATGTTCCTAGCGAACATGACGAAAGAATAGTTCTTGAGCTTCCGTCTTCAATGGTCCGACCACTAAAGGTTCTGAGAGGAACTTTTCAAGTAAGTTCTGCATACCTAAATACTGAAACTGGTCTTGTTACGAATTATGCATGTGCACTAGCTACTAGTCATTTTCATAAATGATATTGTTTCTCATGGATTGATAACTGAATACTGAAACCGGTCTTGTTACAAATTGTTACGTATTATAGCACTACCTATTAGACATTTTCATTAATGATGTTCTCTTATGGACAAGAAATGAAATACTAAACTATGTTCGTCTGGATTTTTGCTGTTTCCTGTTTTGGCCACGGGCGGTCTGATCAGAAAACTTCTGTTTTTGTCGCACCCTGCTGAAACTCAACTTGTCCTCTTTACAAGGTCATAGCTTGTTACTGAACGTTTTATTGTCAGATAACAACAAGAAGAATCAATTTTATTGTTGATAACACGGAGAGCAATGACCTGGGTGATGGTTTGGAAAGTAAGACTGTGAAAAGGGTTCAAGAGAAGGATTACAGCTGGTTAATATCATCACTTCATCAAATATATAGCCGAAGGTGATAGTGGAACTCTTTTGCAGTTTTGCCACCTGAACTTTTCTCATTTCTATGAATTTTGGAGCAGATACTGATTATAGTATTTAATTTGTGCTTACTTTCCCTTTTTTTGTTTATTTATTTTTTCTGGGGTGGGGTAGCGATAGGTTAGTTAGCAGAAGCACATTTTTCAGAACTTGAAGAAGAAAATTGTCATTCTAAATATCAGGATTCTAATTTTCATCTCTATTCCTTTGCCTGGCTTTTGCTTTTACTCTAAAAAAGTTCACGTGTTTTCTCACACAATTGGTTTGTTTTGTTGTTCTTCTCAATGCTGTAGAGCTGGGGTGGGGTAGCGATAGGTTAGTTAGCAGAAGCACATTTTTCAGAACTTGAAGAAGAAAATTGTCATTCTAAATATCAGGATTCTAATTTTCATCTCTATTCCTTTGCCTGGCTTTTGCTTTTACTCTAAAAAAGTTCACGTGTTTTCTCACACAATTGGTTTGTTTTGTTGTTCTTCTCAATGCTGTAGAGACTTATTATAGTGTTTTTAAGAGTAAGAATATCTATTTACTGTCTCGGGGAAGGAAGTACCTTTGCTTTCCTCCTCACATATCCTGTTCATATAATTCACTTGTCCTATTTAGTTACTCATTGGCACGTCTATTTTTTTGAGTGCAATCATGGATTCATGGTGCATTATGCATAGTGCACTTATTTTACCTGGAAAATCTTACTTAGAAAAACTGTTCTTACAGATATCTTTTGAGAAGAAGTGCACTGGAATTGTTTATGGTTGACCGGTCAAACTACTTCTTTGATTTTGGGGTATGTCTTTTTAAAAAATTTACTAATTGCTGGGCTTGGGCCTTTTGACTGACTACATATTTTTCAATATGTTGGTTATGTTCTCTGTAGGTCACTGAGGGACGAAGAAATGCATATCGAGCTATTGTTCAAGCTCGTCCTCCTCATTTGAACAATATATACCTTGCAACTCAGGTTTTTTACCATCTGATCCCTTGCCACCTTTCATGCAAACATCATAAGACATTCTGCACTCCATAGTCCTCCTCATTTGAACAATAATCAACTGTGATGCTCGGACTCTCCATTCATGTAGGAGTACTCGTGTCGACACGACACGGGTACTGGTACGGAATGTGGGTCAGATTCTTCAAGTTTGAATTGGACCCGACAAGAAAATCTTTAGAAAAATTGAAGATTTACCTTAGCTGTAGTTTGGTTGGAGATGGAAGATGTGTGTAAAGAAATAGTAGGTTGGCGCCAGCGATCTTTGGTCCAAAATGAATCTGCTGGCTATCTTCACTTGGAACCTTAAAATCGTGGAGGAGGAAGACGGCGACGACAGGAATGAAAGAAGAGATTTAGGTTTAACTTGAGTCTAGGCCATTTTTATTGGGCTAATAATATGGATGTGGGTTGGCTCAATAATTTGGATATGGATGGATTTAATTGAAGTTTGGGCCATTTTTAATATGGATATGAGTGAGCTAATAATGTAATTGTTTTTAGACCACACGTATTTTAGTTTAATAAAATATTCAAACCATACAATTAATCATTTTTAAAAATTTTTTTTTTCAATTCATCATTTTTAATTCAAAAAATACGGAAATATCAAAGTAAAAATAAAATCTAAAAAACAAAATTCAAGTTTGAAAGACGTACCTAGTACTCATGTCCGAAATTTGGACTCTTTTTAGCCATGTCCTTGTATCCCACATTTTAGAAAATAAAAGATCCGACACTTAAATACGTACCCGAGTCCGATCGTCATAGATTCTCAATATATCCATGAACAAATATATACATCATAATGAACATTTTAGATTTGATTTTAGTTATTTTATACAAAGTATGTATTAGATTATATTCCAATTTGAGTACTTTTGCAGCCCATTGGTGCATTGAATGCTGATAGACTAAAGAAATTCCAAGAGAGATATTCCAGCTTTGATGATCCCGTTATCCCCAAGTTCCATTATGGTTCACATTATTCAACGGCTGGAACAGTAGGTTCTCTCTTTCTTATTACCCCTATTTGACCCTTATTTTTCCCAAAACTCATTTTCTATCACATTCTTCCATAAAATAATTTTACATTCAAACCCAAAACTTTTTTATTTTTATTTTTAACCACATTCTATAAAAGATCAATATTCGAAATCACATTTCCTGGAAAAATGGGTCTCAAACAGGAGCATTGGCTGTTTTAACACGAGTTACACAGTTTTACTGTGGAAAATATGGTCCTTTAACTTTGCATGCACATATATTGCAGTGGATGTAATTTGTTGTAGTAATATATCCAATATTTCCGTGCGCACATTAACACAAGTCTAGGGAATTGCAACAAGTCTTTCACCAAGAGTAATGTATTGGTACTTATTGTTAAATTGCTTCTCAAGATTTGACCAAAATCAACATTGCTTCATCAGACATCATCAAAATGAAGGAAACTACCTACAGTGGTGACTTACATGGGTCTGTGAAAGTTCTGATCTAACTGGAACTGCCCATTCCTTTTCCATTTTCCTTGCCGCCTTTCAATCCGTATTTGGAAAATCAAAGTAAAATGTCATAATAAGGAAGAGTCTACATTATTTAATTCACTTGTTGGCGAGGTTTGTTGGCCCTTTAGAAAGCTAACAAGTAGTAATATCATGATGCATGATTGGTTGTTGAAAATACAGTCATGGTATATAATTTAATCCTTAAATGGTTAAATGTTAATTTGGTTGCTTGAGCCTTCTATCGCATAGATGAGCGTAAGAGCATAAGCAATTTAAACATGAGAAACTATTCTCTTCCTCTTAGCCATGCCATGTTTGTTTATTGTCTATTTGTAGACTTATATGCCCCTTAGGTGCATGTGCCATGATTATAGAACAAAATTTTGAATCTTAATGACGATTTTGCAGGTGCTGTATTACCTCATGAGAGTGGAACCTTTTACTACTCTTTCTATTCAACTTCAAGGTGGCAAGTTTGATCATGCCGACAGAATGTTCTCAGACATTGCTGCTACTTGGAATGGAGTTCTCGAGGACATGAGTGATGTAAAGGAATTGGTATGTACCTGTCCAAGTGTTGCTGCAACTTTCTTTTCCTTTTTATGAACTGTATAATTGGAGTTTGAAAAGCAATTGCTTATTTGCAGTCTTTTAATCATATTCTTAGGCAGTTACTGACTAATTAGTCACATCTTGGTTCTTGACTGCAAGTCTTTCAGAATGCACACTTGAAAATGACGCGTAATCTAATGTTGCTACTCTTTTGTCTGTGTCAGGTCCCTGAACTATTTTATCTCCCAGAAGTTTTAACCAATGAAAACTCGATTGACTTTGGTTCGACTCAACTGGGAGGAAAGCTTGGTATGCACTTCCACTTTTTTGTGATAGAAAAGTAGAGTTATATCCATTCGTTGGCAGTGACAGATGTATCTATGACATCTACTTTTGTCATTTTTATCCCATTTCTCCCTTCATGCTACAGACTCAGTTCTGCTTCCTCCTTGGGCTGAAAATCCAGTGGATTTCATCCATAAGCATCGGATGGCACTTGAGAGTGAGCATGTTTCAGCACATTTGCATGAATGGATCGATCTCATATTCGGGTAGGTTTTGTTTTACTGTTGAAGCTGTATCAGAAATGTAAATTTCTATGTTCTGATCTTGATCTCTCTTAATTATTCTGGAATAAGGGTAATTTGAACATAATAGTTTATTTGCCACAATTTTCTCGCTCCTGCTAATTTTAATAAGTAGGTACAAGCAACGTGGAAAGGAAGCCATACAGGCAAGCAATGTTTTCTTCTACATCACTTATGAAGGAACAGTTGATATTGATAAAATATCAGACCCGGTGAGTTTGTGATCTGCTCCAGTTTTCCAATACATTTGTTATTAATATTCATCCTCCTTCGATAGCAGATACTTAATTTTTTTTTTTTTTTTCACTGTCTTGGAAAGGCACAACAACGTGCTACTCAAGATCAGATTGCTTACTTTGGCCAAACCCCATCACAACTTCTAAGTGCACCTCACATGAAAAGGATACCACTGGCAGATGTCCTTCACATGCAGGTAGTCTGTACTTTTATGTGTACTCTTCTCTTTGGCTGCATCAGACATTTTGCATTTAATCTTCACTTTCTTTGGCAGATAGTTTGAAAACCTGGTGCGGAAACGTTATGAATTCTTGTGATAAGAATTGTAATGAAAGAACTATATTGGAATGACTTGCTATTTATTGATTGAATAATAATTGATGTTGTTGAAAAATGGACAATGCTTCTATATTTATAGGCAAGATTATTTCCTACTTCTACTACTACTAGCTTTGATGTCCGAACTCTTTGAAATGGTCGGAATATCAGTGTCGAACACGACACGAAACGATAGGGGTATAGGTATGGGATATGTGTCGAATCTTCCAAGTTTCAATCAGACACTTCACCATTTTTGCTTCTTCTTTCTTTTTCTTCTTCTTCATTGATGTTGTTGAAAAATGGACAATGCTTCTATATTTATAGGCAAGATTATTTCCTACTTCTACTACTACTAGCTTTGATGTCCGAACTCTTTGAAATGGTCGGAATATCAGTGTCGAACACGACACGAAACGATAGGGGTATAGGTATGGGATATGTGTCGAATCTTCCAAGTTTCAATCAGACACTTCACCATTTTTGCTTCTTCTTTCTTTTTCTTCTTCTTCTTTTCCTTTTCTTTCTCATTTTTGCTTTCTATAAACTTACCGCTGCGTCCAAGAGGGTGGAGAAAGACGACGACGCTAAATTTTTCCCTCTTCTTCTTTCTTTTTCCTTTCCCTTTTCTTCCTTTTTTCGTTGTTTCCCTCACTGTATCCTTGGTTTAGGGTTTTGTTTGTATAAAATGAAAATGAGTTCCATATAGTGTTACTTAGTACTTCACTAAGCACAAATTGCAATCAAATCCTTAATTTTCTATTTTATAAAATATTTAGTAATTAACTTTCCATAATTGAAAACCAAATCCCAATAATCTATTTTATTCATCTTAATCCCTTATTTAATACCTATTTTCTTTTTTGTGAACAATTGGTTTTAGTCTATTCAAAATGACATCTTGGATTAGGAAAAAAATTGAAGCTTAAAAGACGTATCCATGTATTTGTGTTCGAAATTTGGCCATTTTTTAGTCATGTCCACGTATCCTATATTTTAAGAAATAAAAGATTCAGTACTTAAATGCGTACCCGTACCCGATATCTGTATCCGAGTTCGAGCATCATAGACTACTAGGAAGCTAATATAAGGAAACTAAAATAAATCGTAATTTAAAAGAAATTAGAAATCATATTCTAAACAAAAAAATAATAAAAAGATAAACTTATTACAACTAAATGTTTTATTATAATTATCTAACTTTTATCTTATTTACAATATGATTATCCTACATCAATCTCTTTCACTTGAACAAACCTCGTCCTTGAGTTTTAGAAGAAAAGAATTCTTGATAACTTGTGTGTTTGCGAACTTGGTTGGGACTCGAGGAAATTCTCTAGCCACATGTTGCCATGTTATATGCTTGTTGAAATAACTAACTTTCGTAGCAGTTAAAGTCTGCAAATTCTTGTCAGCTTGCTTCTCCAAGAGCTCGCGATTCCTTTC